CATTTCCTCCAGACATGTAGTATGTCTTTCCGGCAGAGTTGACAATTTGATCAATGGCTTGCATCGCAAAATTCCATGTCATAAATTCGCAGCTGACGTCGCGTATTCAGTCGATTAGTTATTTCAATGAGGGGATAGGTAGTTCGTCATGACATACATGGGTCGTAGACCGGCGAGGGCAGCGCCGACTGCTAAACCTGCGAAACCCATCTCTGTGATTGGAGTATCGACCACTCGCTTCTCGCCGAATTTATCGAGCAGGCCCTTGGTGACCTATATTGGCAAAGCGCGTCAGATGTGAACCATGCATGTTCGTGTTACTAGTATGACGCACCTTGTAAGCACCGTTGTACCGAGCAACCTCCTCACCGAGGATAAAGACGTTCTCGTCCCTCAACATCTCCTCCTCCATCGCCGCAGTGAGGGCCTCTCGTACGGTCATCTAATCAATAATTCCACATAATCGCAAAACACCATCAGTTCCAAACGAGTCACCGTATACAAAGGCTGAGAACACAAGCTTACGTGGTGCTCAGATTCTGACGCATATCCACGGGCAAGCACGACACGCCGGGCAGCAAAAGAGGTTGATGCCGGTGTGCGGCGGAGGGTGGGCGCAAGGCGAGAGAATACGGAGCGAGTCGCCATTGGGACTAAAAATTTTGGTTCGTCTACGACGAGGAGGGAGAGGAGGAGAGGGTGGTGAGCAGACTTTGGGGTGAAGTCGCTGTGAGGAGGAGAAAGACGAACAAGCTCAATGCGCCGTCGGGGTCGTACGGGTCGAGATTTTGGGGAGGCGGTAGACGCCAGAAAGCTCACTTTGCGCCCGATTACATACTCGACCCCGACCACGACCTTACTCGAGTCCTTCCTCCTCAAACACCAGCTTCAGCGACAATTCATATCTTAAACATGTCCAGCAAACCAGTCGTAGTCGTCACAGGAACTTCAAAGTGCATCGCACGGTACTCTCCTCTTGCTCCTCTCCACTAACTGCGCGCTCTTCTTTGTATCATGGCCGATAATCTTACAGGGGCATCGGTCTGGCAGTCACCAACCTGCTCCTGGACAGGTTTGGCGCCATAGTAGTTGCTATCTCAAGGCATAGGTCCGCCGCCATGCAAGAACTAGTTTCAAAGAATACAAGCACGCTCCTATTCATCGAATGCGATGTGTCAGTGGGCTCGCGGCCTCTCCGCTCACTTCATCGTAACAAATGCAACTGAGCGGTCTCTGTTCTCAGGACAGATGCCACCGCCTTTGGACATGCCATATCCACCGCGCAGAAGACGTACGGGCACATCGACTCTCTCGTGCTCAACGCCGGTGTCCTCGAGCCCACGGGCAAAATTACTTCGCCCGATCTGAATTTGGAAGCATGGAAAGCCCACTTCGAAGTCAACTTTTTCTCGCAAGTCACTGCGGTTAGGACCGTCCTGCCTTGGTTGCACAAGAGCGAGCTCGGAGGTAAGATCATATTCGTCAGTTCCGGCGCGGCGACTGGCAACACACATGGATGGGCCCCGTATAATGCCAGCAAGGCAGCCTCAAACAGCCTGTGCAGGTAAGAATACTCGTCAGGGCTTTGCCTCGTTGTTCTCAATCGTTACCATATGGGTAGAACTCTGGCTCAGGAGGAACCCAACGTCGTCTGTGTTGCTGTGCGCCCGGGCAAGGTTGACACTGCCGTACGCCTAGATTCAGAGCTTTCCTATCAGTCATCGAATTCATTCGTGAGATCTAGATGCAAGCTCTAGTCCGTAGCCTGGAAGGCAAGATGCGTGACGAAGACTTACACAAGTTTATTCGGGACCATAAAGAAGGCAACCTAGTCGACCCTGAAGACTGCGGTCACGTCATCGCCGCATTGGCTCTCAAAGCTCCTCAGGAGCTCACAGGAAAGTTTGTAAGCTGGGACTCAGAAGAGTGCAGAGAGTACTGGGACGATCAGTAGGATTCGAGGCCTACGATGGGACCTGCGGATCAAGAATGGAGTTCCAAGGACAGGTCAAGGACGCACCGATAAGAAACCACCAAATAAACCACCAAATCCAAAGGAAATGAAGAAAGTGTATCATACTATTGTACCTATATTGTCGACCGAAATCGAACTCGCAGATTTGAATCTCAGATAATGCTTTCTTCTTCTACATGAGTACATAGGCCTTTTTCGTTATACAGATAAAATCTATTACGTGTTCATCGCACGCAAACGGATGCGAATGGCATTCGCGTGGGCTCCGAGTCCTTCACAATCAGCCAATGTTGCTACTACAGGCCCCAGTCCTTTCAGGCCGTCAGCGGTTACTTCTTGTGAGGTGATGTGCTTTTGGAACGATTGGGTGTTGACACCGCTGAACTGCCTCGCGTAACCGTTCGTAGGTAGCGTATGATTCGTACCTGATGCGTAATCTCCGCAGCTGTTCCAACAAAGTCAACCCATCAGTCGTAAGTTCTATTCGGACTTCATGTGGGACAGCATACCTTTCTGGCGAGTATGGCCCGACGAATACACTTCCAGCGTTCTCCACCTGGGCGACAACCGACGGAGCATCTCTCAAGTGCAAGATCAGATGTTCTGGAGCGTAATCGTTTGAGAAGCCAATCGCCTGCTCCAAAGACGTAGTCTTGACGATGATGCTCTTCGGAATGGACTCGCGCATGATATCGACACGAGGGAGAGCGCGTGCTTGGCTGTCGACCTCTGCCTCAATCGCAGAGATCGTGCTATCGGGGAGATTGACAGACACAAGCACTACCTGAGAGTCGACACCGTGTTCTGCTTGAGAAAGCAAATCTGCGGCAACAAAGGCTGGATTGCAAGTTTCGTCTGCGATAACCTGTGCTTCTTGTCAGCTACGCCAGTTCATGACATTTCAGAAGAGTGACTCACAAGAACCTCTGACGGGCCAGCCGGCATATCAATCGAGACAAGAGCGTCCGTATCATTCTGCACAAACATCTTTGCAGCAGTAACCCACTGGTTCCCAGGTCCGAAAATCTTATCCACCTTAGGCACAGTTTCCGTACCATAGGCGAGTGCAGCAACAGCTTGAGCGCCACCTGCTCTCAATATCGCACTTGCTCCTACCAGTTTGGCAACATACATGACCTCGGGGCTGATACTGCCGTCCGGACGAGGGGGCGTTGCGATAACGATCTCTTTGCAGCCGGCAACTTGTGCGGGTATGCCAAGCATGAGTGCGGTAGAAGGGAGGATGGCAGTTCCTCCTGGAACGTAAAGGCCAACTCGAGAGATGGCACGGGCGAACCGAGAACATACTACACCCGGCATCGTCTCCACCTTCAATGCAGGCTCTACTTGTGCTGCATGGAATTTGCGGACATTGGCGTACGCGACGTCGATCGCAGCGCGCACGTTATCAGCAAGGGCTCCCGGTGGAAGTTCAGGGAAGGGGGCGCGGAGGATTGGTGTGCCTTCTAGCACGGTGCATCCGTCGAATTGCGAGACAAACCCGAGGAGGGCTTTGTCTCCGCCAGAACGCACCGCGTCCACGATTGGACGCACTTTAGCAATCATAGCGGCCGAGTTGAGGACGGGTCTCTTCAGGAGAAGCGCACGCTCGGAACGAGAAGTCTGGGAGAGATCATATGTACGCATACGGATGGGTGAATCAGGGTCGATAATCTGCTTTGCAGCTGGGACGGGAGCAGGAGCTACAGTCGCCTTCGAAGATGAAGCCTGAGCATTCGTCCATTGAGGTTTTGCGTTGCCCGCACGGCGAACGACTTTCTTCGCCTTCTTATCTAATGATCTTTCGATATCAGCGATAGACACTCCAGCAGCCGTGCACTTTGTGAGAGCGAAGTAAATCAAATCGGCCGCTTCGAATGCAACCTCTTCCTTTGTCTCTGCCCTGCACAACTCGTCTGCTTCTTCCATGATCTTGGCGCGCAACAGCTGGGAATCATTGAACAGTCTGCGGGTGTAAGAACCTTCTGGAGCCGACGAGAGCCGGGACTGCAGGGTCCTCTGAAGCGCAGGAAGACCCCTCTCTCCTCCATAGCACGACGGTCGGTTGAGGTGGCAGAATCCCGCACCGTGCTGAATGACGTTGAACTCGAGTGCATCGAGATCGCAGTCTACACGGATAGACAGAACATCTTGAGTAGCACCGGAAGTCTCTCCCTTCCTCCACAAGCCATGCTTCCGGGATTGGTATACACCTTTACCAGTCAGGATAGTTTCCTTGATAGATGCAGCCGATGAGTATACGAGGCCCAGCGAACGGCTGTCCTCTGTGACGACTGTAGGGAATAGTCCATCTGGGCGATCGGACACCAGAGGTCCAATGAAGGCATCCGCAATGTTGATCTGCTTGCTGGTAGTCCCTGACAGTGTCAGCAGGGAAGCCGGAAGGACGAGGATGGTCCCAGAGCTGCGGAGCTCACGGATGATTGAAAGAGATGGCGGTGTGGAAGTGACGGTAGATAGTACGTGTATTTCCGCACCAGAGAAGAAGCGCGAGACGGAGGTGATAAAGTCAATGTCGAGGGAGGGTGTCTTTATGAGAACTCCCGATACACCATTGCGAATCTTGTCTGATACAGCACTGACATTGCCCACATCGAGCAGTAGCATTACACGCTCCGGAGGTAGTATTCCAACTATCTCCTTGGACCACGCGAGGGGAATGATGACCTTTTCTGCTCCTTGGTCTAGTTTTTGTACGATATCGTCCAAGTCGAAGGATGTATCATGGTCGAGAAGGATATATCGAGAAACATTTTCAGGGAGTGCAAGTGGTGTGCTCAAAGCTGGAACAATTACGGGCCCGATTCTAGAGACGCTTTGAATAAGGGCTTCATCCGTTTGGGCATCGAGAAGAGGAATGAAGACGGACATCGTGAGTCCACACGAACGCTGAGTGAAGTCCAGCCATGAATTGACCGCAAAAATCTGTGTGACATTGCACCAAAATGACTCGCGCTTGGCTTCCATGATCCAACGTGATGGTACACGAGAAGTGGCGTTTAAAGGCGCTGTAGTGTAGAGGTTATCACGGGAGATTCTGATTCCAGAAGCTTCTCTTAACCCAGGTTCGAGTCCTGGCAGTGCCTGTCTTTTTGCTGAACGAGCACAAAGAATTTAGATAATAGAAATCGTTATTGAGAAATTAGATTTTTTTGAGATGAGCAACGAACTTCTAGTATTTAGTATTTACGAGGCTCTGTTCGGATCTTTTAATATTGACTCCGTGTTGCAGATAACGTAAGCTGATACACTCAGCCACTATTGCCTACATCCGCGAACGAAGAGATGGTAATATGTCCTACTTACTTGCGGCATGTTTGTAGTCTCTAGCATCGAGATGTCGTACTGGGTTCATTACACATAGAGTACATTACGTGACACATCTTCCCTCTATCTTCGCTTTAACAAACGAATACACGGAGCACTGAACAAGTATTACGACCGATGTGACATAGGTACACATCGTGGATTGATATATTATAATGTGACGTCTTCACGAGCTTGTCTTTTGCATGACACTGTGCAATGCACACGTGTAAGTTGGATCCCGCAGCCAACGGAGGATCTCGGCGTGACCTTGGCCGCCTGAAAGAAGTGCCTGTCCGTGTCTGCCAGTTGGGTCAAACCACAAGCCTTCACGGATGCCGTGAGATGTGAGATATCTCTTCACGCGCTGTAAGATTCCAACAGCAAATAAGATTACTTACAAGGAGAACGAGAAGTGGAAAGACTAACGGAAGCATCGACGATCGCATCTTTTCCTCCGAGGAAGAACATCGTTTTAGATGGATCACGCGCGTTTGGAATCTCTTCATACCAAAGAGAATTGGCGTTCCAATCGAAATGCCTCTGAAGGAAATTGGCCACACCGAGTTCCGCGCCAACGAAGTACTTCATTACAAGCTCGAGACCCTATGTATCGACAAAGATCAAGACCGTACATGGCGAGATAGTGAAACACGAGACTTACATTAGTGCATGGGCGATATATGAAATTATAGCAGAGATCTGTGGGAAAATCGTAAGAAACAAAACATATAGTATAGATTCCTATACGCACCGCCTTCCCATGAGCAGAATGTAACCGGGTCGACGAAACATGAGCGAGTGGCCATTTCAGGATACGCCTTCAGCATCCAGGCATGCAAAAAAGATCCACTGAGACCAATCAGTTCATATATCCTCTTCACAGTAGCGGAGGACTGACTTAGAATGACTAACAACTGTGACCCCCGCCGGTGCGTCTTCTTGTACGATGTCCCCATCTTCATCCCTCCCTTTCACCCATCCGAGCTCTTGCAGCAAACCTGCTAAAGCGGCAGCACTTTCGTGTCTACTCATAGGTTTCAAGAAGCGAGGGTGGAAGATCTCTTGGCTAACGTGAGGTTGAAGGGGGATAAGGACTGGAAGATCATTAACCGCTTGTAGGAGATGTGAGAGGAACATCGAGTACTGTGTTAAGCCGAGACCTAAACCGTGTAAGAAAACGATAGGACGCTGGCCGCTCTCCGCGGACCATCTGGGAGGGATACGGAGGACATACCTACACGGTCATAAGATAAATCTCGAGTCAATGATTCAATCAAAAAGTACCCACTCTAGGCCATTATAGGTTGCGACCTTAGCATCCCACTTAGATTTGAAGTGGCGACGTCGGTAGTAGTTGCTTAACGCAACACCAGCATACCAAATGAGGGGTCTCCATGCTATGCTGACGGGATCCAGTGTAAGTAATAGAGGCTTGATTTCAGGGTTGGATCCGTCGGGAATGGGAGAGCCAGCACGCTTCTCGATCATCTCCAGGACCTCACGTAAAACATTTTGACGCGCCTCGGGAAGCGATTCAAGAGTTGCGAATGGTGCATTGAATATAGACCAATGAAGCCAGGCGTACACTTCCCGTTTACGGAGGCTGGACCAGGGAACTCTACCGAACCATGTCCGAAGATAATTACGGAAATCCATAGCGCGGGGATCGGTAAAGTCTAACGCTATGATGTCCTCCTCCGGACTTCCAGGCCGCCCTACGTCCTCCTCGTCATAGCCGTGTTCGGGTAGGTCGGCAAGACCTGCCTGGAGGACGCGCTTGAACGCGGCCTGCAGCTCCCGAAGATCGCCTGTGCCATTGGGTATCGTGCCAGAAACGAATCTCGTAAGTTGGAAGTGGTATACGCTGAAGAATACCTATAAATGGCTTGTTAGCAATATGTTCAGTAAGCATGAGCGGTTGATCTAACTTCGGCAAGCGCTGCAACGAATGAGACCCATCCCCTCCACGTAAAGGACCAGATAATGCCAGTGCGCAGCGAGTAAATAACAAAGAACCAGGACAGAGGAGCAATAGACCAAAGGGGTATAACAGCAAGAATTAGGACGATATAGAATGAAAGGTCGCGTCGACCAGGTGGATGAAATTTCTCTGCGATGTCTTCGAATGCTGTCGGTTCTGGATTAGTTTCTAAGGGTATTGCGTTGTCATCGTGCATGTTTTCTTCGTATATGTCGTGAACGAAGCCGAGAAAAGAGAGGACGAGCGAGGGATTGGCCCAAGCTCTTTGGACGAGTGACCGAGAAAGCAAACGAGACCACCCGGGCCAGCCTTCGGAAAGGCCGCGCTGATAGCAGCCACGTGGAATCCACGCGATGGTGAGTATGACGGCGGACCGGGTCAGTGTCCGTCCCTGCTTCGGCCGAGTCCTCATTTTTTGAAACTCTTTAACTTAGAGCAACGCTCTTCACCTTCAACCACCGTCCCCCAGCCCACTCTCGAAAACATGCTCCGCAACGCAATCGCCTCTGCCGTGCGCCCCGCCCTACAAGGAGTATGTTTCAAGCGTGATCTAAGCGTTCATTTTGATACCAATGTCGATTACAGAGAACTGCCACCACTCTCGCCGCCGGTTTCCCCAAGGTCGCGTCCTCAGTATGTCCCTCATTTCTACGTGACTTGTGTAACCTAAGACGAGCTAAATATTTTGATAGCTACCCACCAAGAAGTATGGCGGTGTCTACACCGTATGTTGATTCGTCGTCACGTCATCGTTCGAAGAATTGAAGCCCGCTCTCACAGGTTACTCTGATCCCCGGAGATGGTATTGGTCAAGAAATCACGGACTCTGTCAAGGAGATCTTTGAGTTCACAAATGCTCCCATTGAGTGGGAGCAGTATAACGTCTCCGGAATGTCGTCAGAGGGCGAGGTGTTGTTCAAACAGGCCTTGGAAAGCTTGAGGCGCAACCGGGTTGGTCTCAAAGGTATGTCTTATACTTCATATTTCACCATTGGTTTCACTCAAGTTGTGGATTGTTACGACTATGCTAGGTATCCTCTTCACGCCTATCTCCCAGACGGGACACGTCTCATGGAATGTCGCTATGCGTCAGCAACTCGACATCTATGCATCGGTCGTTCTTTGCAAGTCTCTTCCTGGATTTCCTACTCGCCACAGCAACGTCGACTTTGCTATCATTCGTGAAAATACCGAGGGTGAGTACTCCGGTCTTGAACACCAGAGTTACCCCGGTGTCGTCGAGAGCTTGAAGGTCTCTACCCGTGCCAAGGCGGAGCGCATCTGCCGATTTGCCTTCGACTTTGCTTTGAAGAACAACCGCAAGGTTAGAATACTGTATTATGAACCAAACTTCTCGTTTGACCCATTCCTTGACAATCTAGAAAGTGACGTGCGTGCACAAGGCCAACATCATGAAGCTTGGTGATGGTCTCTTCTTAAACACCTTCCGCCGGGTCGCGGAAGAGTACAAGCTCGCTGGTATCGAGTTTAACGATATGATTGTCGACAACACGTACGCGAATATAAGCCGCTGCGTCAAGCTGGTTTACTGATAATATCCTATCTACACAGCTCCATGCAGCTTGTTGCTCGTCCTAGCCAGTTCGATGTCATGGTTATGCCTAACTTGTACGGTGCCATCGTCTCAAACATCGGTGCTGCCCTCGTCGGTGGACCCGGTATCGTGCCTGGTTGCAACATCGGCCGCGTGCGTATTACGCTCCGTCTGGTGTAACATCTTTAATGACATCATCCTGATATCCAGGAATTTGCACTCTTTGAGCCTGGATGTCGTCACGTTGCAAAGGACATCATGGGCACGAACCGTGCCAACCCTGCCGCCATGATTCTCTCCGCGACCATGATGCTCAGGCACCTTGGGTACGTCTGTACCTATAAATAAGGTAGTTCCTTCGCTGATAACCAAACCTTGTACAGCCTCGACAACCTTGCCAACAACATCGCCAGCGCGACCTTTGACGTCATCAACAGCGGAAAGGTTCGCACCGCTGACATGGGTGGTATGCACCAAATTTATTTTCTTCTGACGGTATCTCATCTGAACGTGTGTCCGAACTTCTAGGCTCTGCGACGACCTCTGAGTTCACTGCTGCGATCATCAAGAAGCTCGAATAGAGGGTGCACGATGAAGGTACGTTGCCATGCAAGATGGATTCGCACGGAGGGGCTCGGACTTGACTCTACAAAAGTTGTCGGCGTTGTCGCTAATGTAGATTTTACATTACCATACATATTCATCGTTATAACTAGAGCGGACTTGCGGACTGCCACGATACACAGGTATTTCCAAAACCATTTGATTATCGTATGGAATGAACTTCTATATATCTTTGGTATCCGGAAGGTATGGGAAGTTTGAGTCTACCTTGGCAAACATATCATCTGCATCCAAAGCCGCTTCATACTCCTCTAATGTCATATTGGTCGCCACTCGTGCCCTTTTTGCCGGCTGTTGATCTTGTTCTCCGATCTCTTCATGGGCTGCGTTATCATGATGCTCAACTTTGATCATGCCCTGTGGACGTCCTTCGTCTCTCTGTGAACTACTACCGGTACTAGCAACCCTCCGTAGACTCAAAATCGTTTCGCACCTAACCTCCCCGCGTCCGCCCCACTCATTTACCTCTGGGCGGAACTCTGTGTACAATGAGAACCCAAGTTTGTTGAGGTCTTCCGGAGAGTATGACTCGGCCAGTAGACGCATTGCACCGACAATGAAGGGTGCGGTTTGCTTGAGGGAGCGGGTGATGTAAGAAAACGCGGATGCAGGTGCTA